TTGAATTTATCCATGATATGACTCCACCATATTAAAAAATGCTGATAAAAACAATGACCTATGGCTGGTGATCAGATCAAATGAGGACTTTTTTCAAAACAACTTTATTCAGGTATAACTGATGTACAATAAACCCCATATTTGAAGTGTGTGATTCAATAAGTTTTGATGTGTATGCATCACAAAACTAGCACCACAATCATGATAGTGACCATATGTATCCATCAACCCGAAGGTCCCCATGGCCCTTTGTAATTACCCCTTGTCCTTTCCCCATTCCCAGTTCCCAAGGAACCAATGATATGCTTTCTGTCACTGTTGATTAGCTTGCATTTTCTGGAGTTTTGTAAGTGTAATCCTTCAGTATGTCCTCTCTTTTTGTTTGGCTTCTTTCATCCAGCATAATTACTTTGAGATTCATCTATGTTGTTGTATGTCAATAGTTTATATATATATGTATTTTTTAATTTTTTATTGAAGTGTAGTTATTTACAATGTTAGTTTCAGGTATACAGCAAAATGATTCAGTTAAACATATACATACATGTATATCCTTTTCAGATTCTTTCCCATTATATGTTATCACAAGAAATTGAATATATTTCCCTGTGCTATACAGTAGGTCCCTGTTGTTTATCTATTTTATATATAGTAATGAGTGTCTGTTAATCCTCAACTCCTGATTTTTCCCTCCTCGTCCTAACAGTTTATTTATTTTTTGCTGAATAGTATTCCATTGTATGGATGTACCACAATCTGATTATCTGTTTGTCTGCTGGTAGACCTTTGGGTTGTTTCCAGTTTGGGGCTGTTACCTATAAGACTACCAAGAACAGTTGTCCCCTACGGTGTAAATACCTAGTCCTGGAATGGCTGGATCTTATGGTAAGTGTGCATATAACATTTTAAAAAAGTGTCAAACTCTTTTCCAGAGTGGTTATTACCATTCCTCCCAGCAGTGTGTGAGATTTCCAGCTCCTTGTGTGAGGATATGTAACTCCCACTTTTGTAGTTTCAGCATTTTGTTTTTAAGTCAGAATAAGAAAATGCTGTTTGTATTACATAAAACTCAATATATTTGCGTTTGTAGATAATTTAAAAGAAAAAGTGAAAAATCACCTGTAATCTTACCACCCTAAAGTTTTTGCTGTATTTTCTTTCAGAATTTTTTTCTTTTCTTTTTGTAGGGGGGTAATTAGGTTTATGTATTTTTAGAGGAGGTACTGGGGATTGAACCCAGGACCTTGTGCATGTTAGGCATGTGCTTTACCACTTGAACTACACCCTCCCACCAGATTTTTTTTTCTTTATATCCCAACAACCACACACCTTTTGTAAGATGTACTGAATGTAGCCATTTCTCTGCTATTAATAGTTGGATTTTTTTCTTTCTTTCTTTTTTTTTTTTTTTAGTTTTTAAAATAATGCTGCTATAAGCATGATGCTAAATTCTTTCAGGATTTGTTTATTTAATTAGTAGTAGAATTAGTCCATCCTTAGAAGTAGAATCACTGGGATCAGAGGTATGAAAGTGAAGCTTCTGAGTACATCCTGCCATGGAGCCAATAGGATTGGTTATGCCCAATACACATACATGCCGCAGTCAAGTTGACATATAAAATTCATTGTAGGAAGTGAGTTGCTGATACATGCTACAACATGTATGAAACTTGGAAACATTACGCTAAGTGAAAGAAGACAGTCACAAAGGACCACATATTGTATGATCCACTTATATGAAATGTCCAGAAGAGGTACATCTGTAGAGGCAGAAAGTCTCTTTAGGGGTTTCCTAGGGCACAGGGGGATGGGTGGATTTGGAGGGAATGACTGAGGGGTGCAGGGTTCCCTTCTGGGGCAATGGAAATGTTCTAAATTTTCTACGGTGGTGGTAGCACAGCTCTGTGAATATAATCACAGCCATTGAATTGTACACTTTAAATGGATGAATAGTGTGTTATGTGAATTATATCTCAAAAGAGCTGCTAAAAATACAGCAGTCATTCGTTTTAGCCAAAAGAGGGGTATGTTTGGTATTTTATGGGTGCAGCTCTGTGACCTTATTTTTGTCTGTGCTTAGATAAACTTATGAAGGCCACTATGAAGTGGCCTTATTTTGTCTTATTTTATCATGATCTCAGAGTAAGTTTATCTGAGGTTGGTATTTTGTAATCATTTATGGCCCAACAGAAGAATATGAGCTGGCTCTGAGTGTCTGAGGTCTAGCTGTGAATGTCAGATCAGTTCTGGATGTCAGGGGCTGCTTTTTTCCGTTCCTCAGCAGTCCCTGGGAACCTCAGCAGGCCCCTTAGGAATATGAGTAAACACACTTGGAAAGTCCACAGAAACTCTGATCTCAGCCTCCTGCTGATGTGAACCTGCGCTCCTGTGCCTGGGATCTGGGAGACGGGGCCATCAAGCCAGAAGAGACCACGTGTCTTCCGTGTTGCCAAAATTTTTTGTGCTTGTTATGTTTATTGCTATTTCAAAATATTTAAAGGCAGAAGGTTCCCCCACCCTCTCTACCAAGGAGGCCCCATAATACTCCAGTGACCTCCTCCAGCCCTCTCCCTGCTCTGTTTCCTCCCCCAGGACTCCCTCAATAGCCTAGAAAGGACTCAGGGTGGAGGTGAAGGGGAGAGAGAGGCGCTGCAGCTTTCTCAGGCCTGGCAAAAAGGGAACTTTTCCTGTCTCTGCTCTCCATTGCAGAGATCTGGGTTGCGAGTTCAGGCTATTGATTAAGCCTTATTTTGTGTTGGGATTATTTCAACAGACACCGAGGGATATGCAGAGTCCCTGCACAGCCTTCCAGGTATTGCTGCCCATCAGAGGATGCAGAGAACAGTGTCCGGCAGAAGCCGGGGTTCCCAGTGACAAGAAGGCAGGAAGCTGACATGGAAGGGGTGCTGGGAGGGGGTAGAAGTCTAGGCTTTGAATTCCAGCCCTGCTCCCTTCCTGCAGGAGGAGAAAGCGGCTCTTCCTTAGGAGGGCCACTCCTGTCTGGGCTTTCTTTCCTATATCTCACAGCTAACCTGTTTCCTCCCCTAAAAAATCAGTGATCCCAACAAAAAAGCTCCCCTCTCTGGCCCCAGGGATCTCCTCTCCAGTCTTATCTTTCAATACTCCCCTCTCACCAAATGCTCTTTCACACCCTACCTCTGTGCCTTCTCTCATTCTGTTCCCTATGCCTGGACTGCCCTTCTTTAGTTAGAGTCTACTCATTTGGTAAGACTCAGGTCAGTCCTTACCTCCTCCAGGAAGCCTTCCCCAGTCTCCTGCCTACTGGCTGGGTTAGATGCCTGATACTCTTCTGCTCAATACCCCCCACCCTACAATTCTGTTTCAAGGTGTGTGTTGGCCTTTCTCTGAGCTGTCAGCACCAGGATTGAAGGGCCTCACTCCTTTGTGTTTTTGTTTTTCTTTTTTTGCTTTTTTCCATTACGTACTTTCACTGAGGAATCTTTGGCACAGCTGACGCACTGAATTATTATTACGTCTGTTAAAAAGCTATTTGTTCAAACTTGACATAAAAACGTTTTATTCTATGTACAATAATGTACACAAATTTAAACAGGTCACCAAAGAGACCAGAAGTAATTAAAGAGGTATATTTACAGTAGCACATCATAGTAAATGGAAAGCCATTCACAGATTCAACATTGATACTGTTTTTGTGCTTTGTTACGCACTGAAGTGAAGTATATTACTCCATTTTGGGTGAACTAAATTTTAAACAAATACTTCAATAATTAGTAGATCCTATTTTAATCAGTATCATCATTAATCAATTAAATTCCATGTCCGGTACATGTCCAGGCAGAACTGACTTTAAATTTTACATTATCTGGTCTGTATACATCCTCCCTATCGCAATCTTCACCTCGCTGTTCCCCACGCCCACTCCCAGGTCTTGGGGGTCCAGGCATACCCTGCCAGGGACCTGGGGCCCCAGGGATGACAGAATGGTTTGGCTTATTTATTGGGGACCACACAGACCAGACTATCCCTTACTAGGCCAGGCCAAGGGTCCTTTTCTGCAGATACTGGGTCACTGTCCATGAGGAACAGGTTTCTGATTGTGAGTTAACACCTGGGTTTGGCCCAAGGCATGATGCAGGAGACAGAGCCTGGCACACCTGCCCCATGTCCCAAGTCTTCATGCCCTCTCAGTACAACAGCCTCTGAGTGGGTTAAAAAGCCAGTGCACGTAAAGCACTCCATACCATGCCTGGCACATGCTCACACCATCCCAGAAGTCAGCTGGCTTCCTGGTGGGAAGAGGTTTACTAAGGAGCCTGCATGCCCTTCATTGGCATCGTTGGCATCTGTTCCCACAGGGGCAGATGCAGTGCTGAGGACTGGCAGGGGAGGACAGAGGCTCCTGGGGTGGCCAAAGGGCCTCTGGGTGGCAGCACCACAGCAGGCATAAGAACATATTGTACAAGCCAGGTGAGGAGTGGCAAACTGGTCAGAGGGAACCACTTGCCAGGGCCTGACTCACCACCTAGCACTTTTACTTTCATAAGACCTTCTTTGTCCATGAACCCAGGCTGCCAACATCTGCAGTGTGCCAGGCCTGGGCTGGGCACTGGAGAAGGGAGAGGGGAGGAGGAGAATGAACAGAGCATCTTCCAGGCTTTTGAAGGGGCTCTCTGTCCCCTGGAAGAGACAGTCAAGGAGACAGATGGGGACAGGAGGGTGAGAAGTGCTGTGACTGAGGGCAGTGCTGAGGGTGGTAAGGACAGAGGAGTGATGCCAAGCATGGGTAAGACGAGAGTGCATCTCTGAGACCTGTGTCAAGCTAGGCGATGGGATAGCCCAGGCCTCTCAGCTCCTGGACAAAGCTTTACTTCCCCGACATGCAGAGCATCTGAACAGTTCCCGCTGTGATCACCTCCCAGGATTGCTTCCTGGACCAGGGCTGGACTTGGCCTGAGGTCCACACACCTAGATCTCAGTGGCCCTCTGGTGTGGCTTTAAATTTAAGTTATTTTTGTCTAAGTAATACAGGCGATGGTTGAAAAGAAAAAGAGCACCAAGAGGCTTATGACAAAAACAGCATCTTTGCCCTACACATCTAACACAAGTTCCCTCTTTCCAGAGGCAGCTCCTTTCAAATTGTTCTGAGGTTTTTGGAGCATTTATGTCCATATCTTTAAATCATATGCTTCTGTTGTTACTCACTTTTGAATTTTAGACATCTATGCTACTTGAATGAGGATTTAGCCTTTACTCTTCCTACACTGCAATATTATTTTATCACAATTTCTGATTAAGTTAATATGCAGGATCTTCATTTTTTTGATCATGTAAATGGTCACAGCAGAGCCTTGTAATGCAATAGAATTGAATTTCCTATTTTGTAAAATGTTTTGTTTTTCCTGTAGTTAATAGTTACCTTATTTTTCACTTGCTTAGTTTCTTTTATAGCTTATACATTTGATACCATATTTAAGAACTGTTTCCCAAACTTTGTCACTCCTATGTTTTCTTCTAGAATTTTATAGTTTTACCTCCTTATGTTTAGATACATCATCCATTTTGATTTTTTTTTTTGCACTTTTTTGTTTTGGTTTGTTTTGGGGAGAGGTAATTAGGTTTGCTTGCTTATTTATTTCTTGATGGAGATACTAGGGATTGAACCCTGGACCTCATGCATGCTGAGCACATGCTCTACCGCTGTCCTATACCCTCCCCCTATAGTTGATTTTTTTTTGAACTTTAAAAATTAAAATAAATTTTTTTTCCATGACCCATTTTGAATTTATTTTTCTATGTAGTGTAAAACCATAGTTGAATTTTTTTTGGCACATATGGCAATTTGTTGAAAAGGTTGTTGTCGCCCGCATTGAATTGCTTTGGCACATTTGTCAAAAATCAACTGACCATATGGTGTAGGTCTATTTCTGGACTCTTTATTCTGTTTCTATACATCTATTTTTTAAAAACTTTGCCAATGCCAATGCCAAAAAAATTTGCCAATGCCAATTTCAAGTTGTCGTGCAGGGTGTTGGGAAAAGTTTTCAATTAGCAATAATCGTGCCTCAGATAACCTCACTGGCTACAGTCCTGCCACTGTACAAAGCTATACACCTATCATTAATTCATTCCCGACCTGACCACTGGAGCTGGCAAACACCAATTGGTGATGCCGGCAGTCACAGCACATCCCTCCAGCCCCTTTTCCCCTACAGATATCCTGGAGGCCCTCAGACCTCCTGTTACTGTTTGGATTGGCAACTGCTTAGTACCGCTGCCATGTAACTATCACCCAAGAGCATCCATCCCTTTGTCGGAAGATCCTCAGACCCCCCCCTACAACAGGTCCCCTGTTTCTGGCTGTGGGGTCAGTCAAGTTCTGGCATGTTGGCCGTCAGGCCGCAGGAGCCCTCCTCCTGTTTCCCTAGGATTATGTTGTTGAGATCCTGGAGCAGTTGTTTGTTACGGACCATCCAGGGCTGTTTGGATCTGACTGAGGGGACCTCCATTAGTGTCAGCTCTTTGATGGATGAAATGGAGAGCAGGGGACAGGAAGGAGGGGGTTGTGGTGAGCTGAAAACCAGAAAGCTGGGCTTTCTTTGGGGCATTGGTGACTGTCCCATGCCTTCTCTGCCCCATCTACCTAATGAGTTCTCTAATATTCACTTTGTCTGCCTCTTGGGGTCACTGTGATGCTCAGGGCAACATTAGTTATTAATCTATTGGCATGGGGGCTACAGTATGGGTCCCATGTATAGGGGGGTGGGGATAGACCCTCTCATCTTGTGATTGACTGCCCACTCCTGTCCCACACAGTTATCCTTTCAAAGGGCTGAGCAGCACTGCCTGTCTTCAGGCGCTCATCCAGGGTGTACCAGCAACATGATTCACCACGCAGCACAATAATATTTTAAGAATCTTCATCCTGGGATGATTCAACAATCCTGAGGCTGCCACCTGCTCTTCCTCATGGTGTGAACTCAGCCCTGCTATGGTGCATGGTCACCTGGGGTTCTGTGGGCCACGTCCAGTCAAAATGCACTATGCACCCTGGAGACCCTTAAACTGGAGTTGCCTAGCAGTTGGAGACACTGGACCTGGGTCCTTTCATGAATCTCAGGGGACCAGGACATGACATTCACTTCCTCCAAATGAATGCTGGCTAGACTTAGATCCTCTGGAGCGCTCTCTCCAAACTTTCTTGCCTGGACTTGTACCTCATCTCTCTCCCAGTCTGAACTGAGGCTCGGCTGATGCTAAGGAGGTACGACTGGGTCCTGGGCTGCCATGATGATCACCTGTGGGGCCTGGGGGAGAGCTAATGCATTGTAAGTCCAATGTGGGCTTCGTTCTGGACACCAGTGGCTGCTCTTTCTGGTGTCTTACCAGCCTGTCTTTTCTGGACTAATTTCTGCCCCAGGAGCTGTACTCAGCTTCTTCATGCTGCTCGGTATCACTGCCATCACAGTGATGCTCAACTCACGAAGCAACCGTGTCATTTACTCCTTCAAGAGCAAGATTCTAGATTTCAAGTTGCAGAGTGCCTCACTGGGGACACCTGATCTCCCCTGCCTGCCTGGATGTTGAGTGGGAGGGAGGTCGAGGAGTTGTGAACATCCACGAAGTTAGGGGTCATGCAAAGTGGAAGGAGAGGCATTTCACTGCAGGGAGTGTATGGGAGGAATTCCTGGGATTGCCTCATCCTACCCCCTTCAGGTAGCAAGGCCTGTTGAGTTTGGATGCAGGTGGGAGGGACTGAGTTCCTGGAAAATGAGTGGTCCCTCCCTTGGGCCCAGTCTCCCCATACAACTCATAGGACAAGTCAAGAGGGGGCAGTGGAGATGCTCATAGTGCTTGAATGCCTGCTGCTTCCAGGATAGAGCAGAAAAATTGGGTACTGTCCACTCTCTCGAGCCGCGTGGTCCTTGGACAAACATTGGCCCTCCCTGGGCCTTCTCAGGGAAGCTAGGCCTCTGACACGATTCTAGTTTAAGCCTGCTGAGGCAGACAAGCATCCTTGCGGATTATTAGGCCAGTGTGCAGGAAGCCTGGAGCCTGCCACGTTGGGAATGGCAGCTGCCAGAGGGGACTGCTCTCTGATCAGTTGGCGGGGCCCAGGACGCTTCAGCACCGTGGGCTGGACAGCGCCTTCGGAGCAGGCAGGCCGCGCCCTACAGGGACAACAGTCCTCACCTCTAAGCCTGAACTCACAGAGGGGACGGAGCAGGGTTTCCGGGGCGGGCCCTGAGCAGGCAGGAGAAGGGGGAGGGTAAGGGAGTGGGGAGGGGAGGG